GGGGAGGGGCCAAGAAGGCAGCAAATGCCAAGAAAGGTAAGGAGGGGAGGGGCCCTCCCCGTCTCCAGGTCACCTCCTTTCCTGTCCTCGCGTTTCTTCGTTTTCCACCTTGATGAGTCCAGTGAACTTCAGCAAAGGACTGCTTGGGGCCCGGGGGAGCTCTCCCGACAGCAGAGGCAGTTGTTAGAATCAGAAAGAACCTCTGAGATCATCTAAACTGACATCTGCCCCTCCTCCACCCCAATATTTTAAAGAAACCGTTCATTTGGCTTGGCAGGCTGGAGATGCTCAGCTCTCCTCAGCGAGCGCTGGACAGGCTGCACTTTGTAATCTCTGAACCTCGGTTTCTTCAACTGTAATATGGGGATAGTGGTATTTGCTCAGAGGTTTGTTGTGAGAATTACATGATACAAAATGTGTAAAAGCACCCGGCGCGGTGCTTGGCGCGTAGGAGATGCGTGATGCACAGAAGAAAAAAAAAATGGAATAAGTGAATTCTCAATTCCATGGTGTCTCATATAACCTGGAGGAGATAAAAAGGTTCAAATTCAAACTAATAAACCCCAAACACCTTTGCTCCCCCTCTGTTGCCTCTGGGGTCCGGGATGTCCTTGGCTGTTGGCAAGAAGCTACCCTTGCAGCCCCGCCTGCAGTGAGGTCACTCTGGACTGTGTTGGGACAACATTAGCAAGATACCATGGCAATGAACAGCTGTCCAAGGGGATGAGGGTGGGGATTTAGGCAGAGAGACAGGTGGCCAGGGCCAAGAGAGCACAGGAAGCCCAAGGCAAAGGGGTGTGTGGGGCGCCCTCTCTGAGCCCCCTCTGTGAATGCAACCTTTGCCCACTGGCCAGGGACCGGTTGTTGTTGTTGTTAGGTGCCACGGAGTTGATTTCGTCTCATAGTGACCCGTGTGACAGAGCAGAACTGCCCCATAGGCTTTTCTAAGCTATAATCTTTACAGGACCAGATTGCCACGTTCTTTTTCCTCTGAAGCCGCTGGGTGGGTTCAAACCACCAACCTTTTGGTTAGCAGCCCAGCTCTTAACCATTGCACCACCAGAGCTCCCTATGCCAGGGACTAGTGAAGTACATAAAGGTACATCAGGATGATGGAGCCCCAGAAAGCCTGTAACAAAGAACGAGGCAGATCTGGGTGCTGATGCAAAATAATCTCCAAGATTCAGTTCATAAAGCAAACAAAGAAAAGTTCAAAACAGAATGGATACAGTGCTGACATGTATTTTGAAAACAGAATTTATATAAAAATACATATTCACTTGTATATGCACAGGAGTCTCTGAGTGGCAGTTAAGGTTGGTGGTTCAAACCCACCCAGAGGCACCTCAGAAGAAAGGCCTGGTGACCTGCTTCCAAAAGGTCACAGCCTTGAAAACCTTACTATGCACTACAGTTCTCCTCTGCCACTCGTGCAGTCACCATGAGTTGAAATTGAATTTTTCTGGAAGGATTCACAAGAAGTTGGTAACTACAATTCCCTCTGGGAAGAAAACTTGGGTGCTGGTGTCAGTCTCCGCTGGGAGGGAGACTAACTTTTTGAACTGTTTGGATTTTGTTATTGTTATTATTATATGCCTATGTTACCTTCTGCAAAACGTTCATGAAAAAGAGAAGCCTCGATACCACACATGGTTGTGCCCACCAGCGTAAGCCAAATTTGCCCCAAAGGGACATTCTTTATAAAGGACACAGCTTCAAAGGCAAATAAGAGAATTTTTAAATGTGGAAAATCATCGCCAGTTCACTAAAGATGATACTTAATTATGTAAAAGAAGCAAAGAGTCAGACCGGACGCTGCCTCGGTCCTCTCTAGCTTCACACTCCTGCCCTGACCCCCAGTGGTCTCCATGAAGGTGCTGGGGTGGCTAGGGCTCCAGGAGCCCCACTTTACTCTCAGCTTGGTGCTGCCCCAAGATATCAAGGTGGAGGACAGTTATTTCCCATTGTCCTTTTGTGGTTGACAGAGATAGGATCCTCCCTGCCCAGTCCCTGGCCCTCCTCAGTCCCTACTTACTGCCTTTCTCATATGTTTGTGATTGTCCCCATTTCCCTCTGACTCCATCCTAGATGTCGTGAGCCCGAAGATGTTTGAGGAGCTCAAACGCCAGCTGGACAGCCTTGCCCAGGAGGTGGCCCTGCTGAAGGAGCAGCAGGCCCTGCAGACAAGTGAGTGCAGGGGTGTATCAGAGGGACTCAGGCCAGCAGCCAGCAATAGGCTCTGGCTCCGTTAGGCCAGCCCTGTAGGCCAGGGCTCCAGTTTTAAGGAGCCCTCTTCCCAGCCTGCTTCCTCTTGGGGAGATCCCCTGACATGTGTCTGCAAAACCCACCCAGGGGTGCACAGTTGGGCCTCTGGCCACTGCTGGGTGGTATACAAGGTGGTAATGTCCCAAGAGGACAAAGACTCTCCATCAACAGTTGGTTACAGCCCACCGGAAGCGTGGCCCCTGGAGTGCTCTGTGGAGCAGAGGCAGCATTCCACCCAAAGGAAGCTCCCAGGAGAGACCCTCCACTCAGCCAGCCCCGCAGCCCTAGGGGCTGTCGGCAGCTTTACTTCATAATTATGCTGACGCAGGATTTGTCATCTCCATTTTAAAAATAAGGAAACCGAGGCACAGAGAGGTCCTGTGCCTTGCCTACACTCACTCGGCTGGTTAGCAGCAGAGCGGGTTTGGAAAGGAAGCAGCCTGTCTGATGCCACGCTGGGTGCCAGGAGAGCTGGGCTTGAGCTTCCTGGCTCTGCGCTAACCGGCCCATCGAGGTTGGACAGAATCACACAGCTGTGGAGCCGAGGAGCACGGAAAGGTCACCTGCCCGGCACTGCTTGGTCAACCCACCTGGGCAACTAGTTCTTCCTCTCCCCATCAGGTTCCCTTCATATCGCCTCTATTCTCTACACACCTCAGATACCTACCCCCTAGATGACCTGCACTCCTCCATTTCACGGAGAATGTAGAATAGCAATAACAGTTAACACTTACACCAGGGCTGAGGGGCTGACGAGTGCCTGGCACTGCGCCAAGTGCTCTGCATACATTATACACATTCATTCTTCAGGGCAAACCCTGCATTGGTCTATTACCGTATTCCCACGCCCATTTTCCACCCAGAGCTGGGTACCCGGCCAGCAGCTGGAAGGAGCAGAGCCTCCCTCCTCCCCCAAGCCTCTCAAGCTGTCAACTGAGATTCTCCTTGGCACCTCAGGGGATCCACAAACCTCCCTGTGCCCACAGCCACCCTCTCACAGTCCCTCTGACCAAAGCACGCCCCTCTCCCGGGCCGGGCCCTCTACTCCCTTCCCCTCCTCTCTCTTCCCTTCCCCTCCCCTGCGGCATCCTCAGGAACCTGGCTAGGAACCTTGCTATGTCCAAGATCCTTCTCACTGGGCAGTTCTTACACACTTCTGCTCAGATCCTTTCGTTCAGCATCCACACAGACTCAGGCCTCTGTCCTCTTCAAAGGAAAGAACCTCTGAAGCCACATCCCCTCCTCCCCTTCACAGCCACATTCTCAGAACTGAGTTTATGCACTCACAGTCGCTATTTCCTCCCCCAACCCTCACTCAAGGAACCCTGGTGGTACAGTGGTTAAGCACCTGGCTGCTGTCGAAAGGTCGGTGGTTCAAACCCACCAGCCGCTTCTCAGGAGAAAGATTTGGCAGTCTGCTTCTGTAAGGGTTACAGCTTTGGTAACCCTGTGGGGCAGTTCTGCTTTATCCTATAGAGTCGCTATGGGTCGGAATTGATTCGATGGCAAGAGGTTTGGTTTTTTGGTTTTTTTATGTGTTAGAGGGAGTGTTGTAGGTGGGGTTCCTGGGAAGTGGCCCTGAGATGGAGTTTCGGGTCCTCCCACAGGTTTACTAGGGAGTACCCTTGGGATCAGCACCTGTGGAAGGGAGGGGACAGAAGGCAGCAGGAAGAGGCAGAGGGAGAAGCTGAGCTGTACTGTAGCCTCAACCAAGGGCTCAGTCGACTGTAGAGGGAGCCCTGAAGATGAGACGACCCTTCACAGCTGTCCGGAGTTGGGACAACAGGCCTCACTGGCCAGTCCCTGGATGCAGGATGCCTTGGGAAGGGGGCACGACCCTGGGGGAGGTGGTTCTCTTTTCCAGAGGCAGTCCCTGAAGGGGGCTGAGATCTGAGGGTCATCTTTCTACAGCACTCCCAGCAGCTGGGGCGCGGATAGTCAGGAAGCCTCCCGCCCCCTGGGACCAGGGGCTGTCCTGGGCAGATGGGATGGCCGGGACGGGAGGGAGGATGGTGGGCCTGCCCCTGCGGTTGCCTCTTTGGCTCTGGAACCCCGGGGGCCTTCAGTGACGGCCATTTTTCTCTCCCCCCACCCCACCCGCCCCAGTCTGCCTGAAGGGCACCAAGGTGCACATGAAGTGCTTCTTGGCCTTTGCCCAGGCCAAGACCTTCCACGAGGCGAGCGAGGATTGCATCTCGCACGGGGGCACCCTGGGCACCCCGCAGACGGGCTCCGAGAACGACGCCCTCTACGAGTACCTTGTCCAGAGCGTGGGCGCCGAGGCCGAGATCTGGTTGGGCCTCAACGACATGGCGGCTGAGGGCGCCTGGGTGGACATGACCGGCAGCCCCATTGCCTACAAGAACTGGGAGACCGAGATCACGGCACAGCCGGACGGCGGCAAGGCCGAGAACTGCGCCGTCCTGTCGGCCGTGGCCGCCGGCAAGTGGTTCGACAAGCGCTGCCGCGACAAACTGCCCTACATCTGCCAGTTCGGGATCGTGTAGCCGGCCGGGGTGGGGGGCGAGCAGGAGCGGGGTCCGGAGGAGGGCCGGGGAGGGCTTGTGGGGGGCCTCCTTTTGCAAATAAAGTTGCTGCAGCTTGGGGGGCAGTCGTGGCGGTCTGTGCTGGGCCCGCGGGGCAGGGAGGAGATTTCCGGGAACCCAGCCCGAAAGCCCTGGGAGGCAAGAGGGAGGCGGTGACCGGGAGGCGAGGCTGGTTCTCCCTGGAGGAGGAAGAGAGGAGGGCCGAGGCGGGAGAGGAGGAGAAGGGTAAGGGAAAACAGACAACTCTGGCCTGCTGCCTTTTTTTCTTTTGATAGCTTATGTTCCCATAATGCCAAACCTGCAGAAAATTGGCAAGAATTCCAGTATACGCTTCATCTAGATTCCCCAAATAGTAACATTTTTCATATTTGCTTTCTCTTTTCCTTTTGTTAGTTTTTCCGAGCCGTTTGAAAGTAAATTGCAGACATGATGCCCCTGTACCCCCAAATCCTTCATTTAGTGTGTGGTTCCTGAAGACAAGGACCTTTTCTTACATAAGCACAGAGCAGTTATCAAAATTGGGGGAAAATAACATTGATTCAATATTGTTATTAAATTACAGGCCTTATTCAAATTTCCAGGCTTTTTGTAGAATCCACTTCCATGTTGGAATCCAGTAACCTTCCCCCCGTGCCCCCACCTCACATGCCCCCTGCTGATATGGCTCCATTTCTGGAATGTAGAAAGAGTCCTCCTGGGGGTGGGCACCCGGGTGAGAGCAGAGGCTGCCCACAAGGATCCAAGTTTGCATCCCTCTCCTTCCCTAACACACCCTGGGGGCTGGTTCAAGAACCAGATATGACAAGTGCCAACCCTGCCTGACAGTGGGTTCCTTTCCCACCCCTCGTAGACGGCTCACCAGGGGTCACATTTCTCCGTCTTAGCCACAACAGCTACTATTTGCTGAGTCCAATGTGTTGCATGAACTTTTAGTATGTGTCTTATTTCATCGTATCCACCCAGAACAAAATGTGGTGTTGTCCCATTTTACAGAACAGGAAGTCGAGGCTCAGAGAAGTTAAGTGACTTCCCTGGGTCACACTGCTGGGAAGTAGCAGACCCGGGATTTAACCCAGGGCTGATTCCAAGGATCTCAGCCTTTCCTCCAGCACTGTGATGACTTGCTTTATGTTACCGGAACTTTCCTGAACTAAAACGACAGAAAAGTGGCCTAGTGATTACTAGAGGCTATTGGCCAGCTCTTGGCAGTGAGCTGGTTCATCCAACCATTTAGACCCAGCTCTAGTGATACCTCCTTGGGGAAGTCTTCCTTGTCCCATCAACCATAGCTATCATTTACCACCTGGACTTCTGCAGCACCTTTTTCTCCTTTTAGCGTTCGTTGTCTTTTAGCATGTCTTGTCTTCAGTAATCAATTGCAGGTAGTTTGATTTGATTGATAGGGCTGGGCTGGGCTGGACAAGGCAGCTTGCTATCACAGCAATGACCTGTGTGCATACTTCATGCCAGGCAGTCTGCTCAGCAGTGTCACAGAAAGCATCTTAAGTCAACAGCTGAGGAGGTAATGAGGTCCATTGGTATAGGTGAAGAAACAGACCCAGGCAGGTGATGTCATTTGTTCAAGGTGGTCCAGCTAGTGAGAGGCAAAGCTGAAATTCCTCTCTAGGTCTTGTGACTTTGAGTCCTAGACTCTTTTTACCCCACACTCAGCCTTCTAGCAGGATAAAGGAAACCAGGGGTTTTTCAAAGTTTCTGCAGTGGGTGACTATCCGCAAGAGGGCACCCATGCTTCTGTGCATGAGCGTGGGTCGCGGTGGAGGTCCAGCCACTGTGGCATTCCTCAGTCAGGCAGCGAGCATTGCCTGCTCACCAGCAGCAGGTGGCAGTATGGGCAAGAGAATCATGACCCATTTCTCATCAGCCACCAGTGCTCGTACATTTGAGACACTTAGACCTGCGGACTTCAAACTGGGTACACCCATCCTTGGACCTTGTCTTTATTTTGACATTTTGTTCATCATGGATAATTGTGTATTACTTTTGATTTTTTTGAAAAATATTCAATCAAATATTATCTTGATTACTGAGTTTTTGGGCACCCCCTTAAACTTTGTGGAGTCCCTGGGTGATGCAAATGATTAACATGCTTGGTAGCTAACAGAAAGGATGGAGGTTTGAGGCCACCCAGAGGTGCCTTGAAAGAAAGCCCTGGCGATCTACCTCCAAAAAAATCAGCCACGAAAACCCTATGGCACACAGTTCTCCTCTGACACTCACGGAGTTGCTATGAGTTGGAACTGACTCAACAGCAACTGTTTTTTAAATTCTGTACCCCTGTGAGTGCTCACTCACTTCACTTGCCTCACCTTAGTCATGGTCTTTCCTGAGAGTGCAGGAGAATTTTCCAAGGGGTGTACAAACAAGGATAGTTTTAAGAGAGTCAGTTCCTCAGTTTCTAGATCCTCAGCTTCCGAGAATCAGCCTATCTGGTGGAGGTCTCTGTTCTGTCTTCTCATCCACAGTCACCCTTTTCCCTCTTACAGAAGAGAGGCTGACTCTTGCCCATCCTGAATTTTACCATGGCGCATTACGCTGGTACATAAAAAGCTTTGAGAATGCCAAACAAAGGGACAATTTGAAATATTAGTATAAGTGTCAAGGAAGTGAAAAACTGGGTAAAAAAATCCTTTTGCAAGTTTAGGGGTTTCCAGTTCTTTGCTTTCAACAACCTTAGAGAAGAGTCTAATCAAATCATCTGTTAATAGCCTGTGCAAAGTAATTTCCAACAATAGAGCACTTCTGAGCTTCGAAGTTCAAGTGTTGAGTGATATCACTATAACCAAACTCCTTTCAGTCCCACCAGCTTATTTATCTGAACAAGGTTCTCAACCTTTACAACTCTAAAAATGAAAACTAGGAATAATATTGACGTCAAATCCTGCTTCATTCTAGGATACATGAACCAATTAAAAAAAAAAAAAAAAGCTCCATCCATCTGAATGAGAAATTCATGTTTAATTGTGTTTATAAAAATAGGTAATAGGCCTGTGATGTTTTGATCAATTGTGCACTAACAGTAGTTGTGTTGGGGGAAAGCTAGCTAAAGGAGTTTGAAGAGCACCGGTCTAAACCCTTTCTCTGAGAACAACATTGAACTTGCATTTGAAAGGTGAGTGACTTCGGCAGAGACTGGCTGAGCAGAAGCAGGAGGTGGTTTCTGTGACGAGTCCTTTTCTCTGTCCACTTGTTCGTCCTCACTCGTGTGCTGGAGCCTTATTCTCTCCTCCTCTTCCTGTCACCTTTGTGGCTCCTGTTCCGGTTCCCCCTTCTGCGTTTAGCCATCCTTCAGCCTTCTTCACTGTTCCCATCCCACACTAGGTGAGGGAGAGCTGGTGGGAGGATGTGCAGACTAACCCTCCCACCCCCAGTGTGGAGAAGGGGGTGCCCTGGGAGACCTGGGAGTGGGTCCTGGTGGCACCAGCTATGGAACTCTGGAGAAAACCTGGCCAGTCAGCATTTCAACACCCAGTTTCTTTCATCTGCAAAATGAAGTTTAGACTAGATGATCTCTAAGGCTCTTGAGTCAGGATCTTGTAAAAAAAAAAATGTTTTTTTCAAGTTTTCTAGGGCTATTTCTGAGGCCTAATGTTAGGTTCTATCTCACCTGCTTTTCATAGGTGACTCGTTTGTGAGAATGGCTTATGAATCTTCCTCAAGCTACAGATCATGGCACAGCCTACAAAACCGCTCACCATTTCCTCCGTTCGAATGCACTGTTGTTTCATGCAGTGTGAGAAGACAGCCAAGGCAGAAACACCTCAAAGATCAATCCAGCCTTCAGATGAAGAAGCTAGAGCGCAGGGAGGTTAAGGGACCAGCCAAGGTCACCCAGCTTCTTAGAGAATGAGACCAAGAGATTCACTTTCTTTTAGGAAGAAGCTTTGTGCAAATTCAGGTTGACTGTCCTTCCAAACAGCCATCTATAAGTATTGAGTGTCTACCATGTGCTGATCACTTTGCCAGGAGCTGGGGTACTGATGCATGAGGCCTGGACTCTGATCCTGAGGCATTCACTGCCTGGAGGGTGGCTTGACATTTTAAGGAGCTCAGAGACTAAGGACTGGGGCTAATTTTGCCCCTGAGTGCAAAGAACTAGGCCGTATTGGTAGGAAAATGAATTTTGGGTGAAGAAATGCAAAGCAAACAGCTAGGTCAAAAGCAAGAAGGACATTAAGGTTTCACAAGTTTAACCCGAAAACATTAAGCCAGGTCTAAGTTACTCCATGGTAGTGATGCTGGGTCAGGAAGAAACTCTAGATTTGAATTCCAGCCCTCCTCTTTCTAGTCCTGTGGCCGTGGGGGGAGTCAGAGTCTCCTAACTGTGGTGTCCTCATCTGCACATTGGAAATGGAAGAATGGTGCAGCCAAGGTCACAGACGTGGAAGCTGAAGACTAATTTTCTAGCCTCTCTTGTTAGCCATGGCTGGCTTGTCTGTGGTTACCACAGTCTCTTCAAATCATATGAATTATTCTCTTCAAGGCCATTAGAGAAGGCAGCGGAGAAGGGCCTGAAATCCATGTCCCTTAAATCATCGTCTACCCTGCTTCTACAGCCAATTCCACTTTATGGGAGGGTGAGAGGATGTGCACTGGGAGGTGAGACACAGAGGGTCATCCACTGGGAACCTTGGTGGCCCAGGCTTTACTCTCCACCATTGTAGGTCTAGGGTCACTCTCTCTGAGACTCTTCCCATCTATAAAGTGGGCATGATGCCTCCTTCACATTGCTGTTGTGAAGACTAAACGTACGTAAGGCCCCTAGCCCATGGCTTGACACTTATTTATGAAGATCATGAAATAATGGTACTGCATGAAAAATCTCTGGAAACAAGGCTACCCTATATAAAAGATAATGCCATGACCTTCACCTGGTTAGAAAAAACCACAGTGAGCTCAGCTGTGACCTGTTTTCTTATTACTATAAAGACAATTCTCTTCAG